GCTGAGGCTTTAAGGCAATTACTTATCCTTTTTTTTTTTTTTTTTAATTATTGCAAAAGACGTAGATCTGACTTTAAGCAGCAAAAGTGTTTTGCTCTGACAACAGCATGAGAGGCACGGTTCCTCGTTTTTTTAAAAAAAAAAAAAATCACAAAACAGGATCCCCCCCCCCGCCATCCCTTACTACTATCCCTTAAAAATACCTATTCTGTACAGCGTTCGCAGAAACCCTGATGCAGAAATCTTATAGTCCGGTCTAGGAGTGCCCAAGCCAATTAATTTTAAATCCTTAGGAATTAATCAGATTAAAATGTACAGAAGTTTCATTCTCGTATGCATACGTGAGCCAAAAGTCGTTTCCCTTTAAGAGATCCTTTTCTTTTAAAGTTGAATTTTAGGCAGATAAGAGACTTACACTAGGGGGCAGCCAGATACTGTACTTGCTCCAATCTTAAGCAATTTTTTTTCCTCTCTCACAGCATATGCTCTGATTTAGCACTGTAAATTTTTCAGAGGACCCAACTCTGACAGCCCCTGGTGATTTTCAAAGTACCACAAGCCAGTGGTTAAAAATTGCATTGACTTGGAAGTTCAGAGGCACACAATAGGAGCCACTTTCCCTATTCATGGAACTTCAGTGTGGTGGAAGAGAAAAACACACACATACTACATTGAGGGAGAAGAGGAATTCATTGAATTCTGTTAGACGTAACTGCTTTCCACTGAGTTCAGAGCGAAACTCGGTATTTGTTCGATGCTGTATTCATATTGCGATTTAATCTAGAAAGAATTAGAGGACTGTTAGGCAGCTTTCTGCCAGGAAAGCAGCTTCCCCCTCCTTCCTCCTCTTTTTTTTAAAACCTAAAGATTTACACCGGCTCTATCCCCAACTCTATTTTAGCAAAATAAATCCTTCCACTCCCTCTCATTAAAATAAATTTACATCTGCAGTAAAATGGCAGGAGGCATTTGTTTATTTGGAAAACCAATACGGTCTTACTTTTAAAACAGAGCATTTCTATTGTCATTAAGCTCGGAGAAGGACAGTTGAGAATCTCCCCCTTCTTTGCGAGGCGCTCAGGTTTCGAGTATTTAGCGAAATTAGCTGCAGTTCATTTTTACATTCGTCTGTTCTGCCTTAACCCACTCACAGGGGTGTTTTCAAATAAATAGCAAAGCATCTAATGGTGCTAATAGATAGATATATCGCTGCATCCCTCGAAGAGCAAATAGTTAATCTGGGGCATTCTTCATTAATGCTTGAGCAATCAGCGTATACGGCGGCTTTTAAGCGTATATCAATGGCTTTTCATTTTTACGATCATACGTTCAAATTATTAATATTGTACGTCCTGTTAAAACCGCTTTCTCTTCTGATTTCTGCATTTGTTAAGATGGTATTATTGTTTTCTCATATGGCGAATTAGTCCTGTTTACTTTGTCAGATTCGAGTCAGGAAAGGTTGGTGTTGGGTTGGTTGGGTTTTGTTTGGGTTTTGGTTTTGTTTTTCTTTTTTGTCCCCCTCTCAGGAAATTCAACATCAGCAACAATCTGTGACTTTTCTGCATTTTGAACCCCCACCTTCTCCCACCCTCCCCGAAAGGTGACCTCCTCGGTTCGGGGTTATTTGGAAATCATAAGGCAGTTCCCCCACATTTTAACGGGAAAGATTCCTTTCCCAGTCCCTCCTGGCCCCTGTTTCGGGGAAAGGTTATTTTTGCTCCGTCGGGATCGATGGGAATGCTGCAGCCTTGTCTTTGAAATTGAGCCGCAGCACATCTTCGTTCCCGGGGTCTCAACACACCACGTTTCTGAGCAGGACACTGTCAAGTCTGGGTGCTTTTTACAACTTTCCAATCATCTCAGCACCTGCGACTTTAGCCACATATATTATTTCTGCGGCAGGAGGGGGATGTGTGTGTGCGTGCATGTGGCAACATGAAAAAGTGTGTGTTGAGGAGGTGAAGGGGCAATTAATCCTTTACAGAGTTGTGCACAGGTCTGTGTCCCCGCGTCCCTGCTCGGTGACCAGCTCGAACGTGAGCGTCCGCACACGCGTGTGTTTGCAGCGGAGGAATTGTCCGGCCGGGTATTTAGCTGGCTATTTTAACGTGATTTCTTTTTTTCTTTTTTAATCTCTCCGTCCCTTCGCCTGTTCGAGTGTCTTTTTGGCCATTTTTTTACCGGGAGACGAACTCGAGTCCCCGTTCCGCTGCCCGGTAGCTGTATTCAGCGGGAAATAAAGAGCTGTCCCCGCGTCCTCCGGTCGGTTACCTATTTAATGGTGCTCCCGCTAGAGCACAGGGGTTGTGTTACCGTGTCAGAATCCCTCTTTCGAGATATCACAGCTTCCTTCTGGCCTCTGAGGTTGTCTCAGGTTTGAAGTGGGTCAACACAGGTTTTCCTGAAGGGTGTGACAGAATTGTGCTAGATTAAGGTCAAACAACTTTAAGTGGTTACCTCTCCTGTCTGTCTTCCCTTCTCTGACTGACACTACTGCCCTCGAGGCATGGGTGTCTGATCTGCTTGTGAGTCAGCTCCTGAGCCACCACCGTTTTCAGCCTGGTGTGTTAAGGTAGAATGACTTTGCAATTGCGTGGGGATGATAACCATTTCAGTAATCTGATTTTAATTTGCCACCAAAAGCAGTCATTTGATGAAGGAAGGAAGAGTTCCCAGAATGAATGTGTACTATATAGCATCAAATTTTTATTTTTAAACATTGAAAATTGTTTCTAGTGCTGCCATTCCTTGAAGCCTTGATGATCACGTCCAATAGGATTGCATCGCTGTTGATGTACTGGCACAAAGCAAGTATCAGCAAGCTTAGGCATTGCAAAAATCTCAAAATAAGAACAGAAGTTCACAAACATGAGCACAACAGCTCTGTGCCCTGCCATTTCTCAGTCCGAAGTGCCTTGCTATTCAGACCAGATCGGAGGGATCACTTCTTTTAAACAGATTTTTGGCTCCCTTTACTGTAAATAAGGCTTTGCAGAAGCAACCTTTGATTTCTGTGGCTTGGTTAGAGGGCTGATGCACCAATGCTGATGGTATAAAAATACATGATGCTACTGAGTCTGTATGTAGACACCTAACAGGAAGACACAGAGATGAATTTTAAGCTGGATAAGGAGTCTTTTATATATGAGCTTTCAGACATATTCCTGTTTTTCCTGACAAGGACAGAAGAGCACCATCAAAAGCTTCTAAGAAACATTTCTACAGCACACATCTATCTGTTTGTCTTCTCCCTTTCCCCCCATACATGCCTGTCTACTATATATAGACTCATTGCTCTCATGATTTATTTTGCTACTTGGCATCTTCAATAGAAGCGCTGGTTTGTAGCATGTGTGGCTTGGGATGTGTTTTAGAAAGACCAAATTTGAAAGGAAAGCTTGAGCAGAGCCTTCCACTGTTGCAGCAGTCCCTGAGGTCCCTGTCTTTCTTGTATGTAAATATTGGGCTGATGAGAGTTTTGGACAGAACAAATACTGTAGGGGTAGATTTCTGTCACCCAGTGCCACCTTACAGCTGAGCCTCTATCATGCACAGGGGAGACAGAAGGAAGCTGAGCCTTCATGGCTGAGGTGTTCATTGGCATCTCTGCTAAGGATAAGAGCAAAGAAGCTGTGCTGGTTTGGCTGGGACTATTCTGAATTTTTATATACTTCACTGGAAGACTGATGCCTTGGCCGGTGTCCCAGACCTGCACGTTAGAGTCCTTTCCTCAGCTCCCTGCTTTTCTGGTTCTCTCCCCAGAGACTCCCATATTTCTCCCTGTAAATAGGCACAGCTCTGCATATTGGGAGTCAAGAACAAATAAAACTAAAGCCTGATAGAGGGGCAGCTGGAAAAGAGAGGTACAGCCTTCAGGGAAGAATGGAGCTTGTTTCCAGCGAGAAGCACAGATCTGTTGAGGGATGATGCTGAGGCTTGGAAGGGCTGCAGAGTGAGGAGTTAGGTAGGAGAGGGCTGAAACCAAGGAACATAGCAGTGGCTGAAGCAGATTGCTGGTGATGAGAAGACTCCCACAGTTAATAGGCAAGAGGCAGTAGGGGAGCCTGTGCTCATTTACATCATGGAGATCAGAGGGTAGTGCACTGATTGCTCTTCCCCCTTACCCACAATGCTGAACTAGCGAAATGACATTGTTTCCCCACAACAGGAAAGGAACTGAGGCAGCAACTTCATCAGTATACCACACAAGACAACTGATATAAAGCATTCCCCCGTTAGTACCATTCTAAAGAATCTTTAAAAGATATTTCTTTTCTGTTTTGTAGCAATCTCTTCAGCTCTTGCTGATCCCTAGGGGAAAAAAAAAAAAAAAACACCACCACCACCACCAGAGCCCACAAAAACAAAGCGATCGCAGTTGATGTTGCTGTTGCAAGCTGGACTTCCAAAAACTACGGCGAGACCGTCCGCTCTCCGCGCCGAGAAAAGTCTCCTCAGCTGTGCGTGTTTTTTTCCGCTGTGTGTGTAATCTTTAACCTTTTATTCATTCTTATTTTGATGGCTTTCCTGAATGGCTGACTGCGAGCTTCCCTGGACCTGGCCCCCAGCCCCCCGCCTCTCCTCCTTCAACTACTCTGCTGCAGATCAGCTCTAAGAGAGAGAGAGGGAGATCTT